GGAAAGAGGGGCCCTTTCAGTTAGGAAGGAAGGAAGGGGACGCGGTCCCGGGGAAGTACAAGGAGGGAGGGAGCTCCAGGGCTCTTGTCTTTGCTGACCTCAGCCTGCTCGTTCTTGTTCTCCTGGCTTTTGCATTCTCAGCCTGATTTCTTCTCCCTCTGCCATGCCTACAGACTCCTACCTCCACCTTTTCTTCCTCATACCTGCCTGCAGAGAATTTTTAATTGTCAACTCACCGTGTCCTGGGACAGTATTGTAAAAGGAAATGTTTTCCCACTGGAGCAGTTTTCTAATGGGGTGCTTTCCTGACCAAGGGCTCACAAACTTTCTCCTGCTTGTGTCCCCTGGTTCACAGAAATGGACATTTTAAGCAGAAATGATGATTCAAAACTAAAAATTGGTCATAAATGGGATGTGTACATCATTGGCGGCCATGGGGAGGGACGTGGTAGGATATGCCACTGAGTGAAGGAAGAGCAGGCGTGGGCGAGGGGGTGAGGATGTTGGCAAACAGGTGTGAGCTGAGCAGGGCCCTGCTAAAGGCTCTCTCAGACTCAGCAAAGCTCAAGGCACTTTGCAGCCAACACATCTGAGTCCTGTGTGCACTTTCTACCATAAAGTATTTATCTAGCCCATCAAATATAATTTCTACATAATAATCTTGTCCTGAAATTATTTTGTTAGTTGTTATAAACTTACAAAAAATGTTTTTCCTTTCCACCTTAGGTGTTGGAAGAGGTTTTTTTAGAGGATAAAAAAACCTAGGGCCCTTTTTACCAAAATGAAAAACGATATTTGAGCTAAAGCCCACTTTGTCTTTTGACATTTTCCTTTCAGTGTTGTTGTAAACAAAAGTTCATTCACCTTATAGCATGTATTCCACTGTTTTTATTATTGGATAATCTATTGTATGGATATTCTACATTTTATTTATTCTTCAGTTGGTGGAAACATTTTGATTGTTTCCGCTTTTTGCCGTTATGAATAACGCTACTGTGAACACTAGAGTACAAGATTTTGTGTGGACATAGGTTTTTCGTTCTCCTGGGTATGTATCTAGGTGTAGACTTGCTGGATCATGTGGTAACTCTGTTTAACCTTCTGAGGGACTGCCAGGGACTTTCCAGTGTGGCTGCACCATTTTATAGTCTTACCAGCAGGGTATGGGGGTTCCAATTGCTCTATATCCTCATCAACACTTGTTATTGTCTGTATTTTAACTTAGCCGTCCTAGTGGGTGTGAAGTGGTATCTCATTGTAGTTTTGACTTGGATTTCCCTGATGCTTAACGGTATCAAGCCTCTTTTCATGTGCTTATTCTCCATTTGTTTATCTTCTTAGGAGAACTGACTTCAGATCCTTTGCCCATTTTTAACTGAGCTTTTTGTCTTTTTACTATTGAGTTGCAAGACTTCTTTATATACATTCTAGATACAAGTCCCTTATCACATACATGATTTGCAAAAATTTTCTGCCACTCTGTGGGCTGTCTTTTCACTTGCTGGAAGATGTCCTTTGAAACACAAAAGTTTTAATTTTGATGATGTCCAGTTTATTTTTCCTTTCGTTGCTTGTGTATCCTAGATCTCTTACCTTTGACACTGCCCTTAAGCCCAGAGACTCCAGATTCTGGATTTTGGCTCTGGCTTGGGCATTTGTCCTGCTGACAAGGAGCCCTAGTCCAAGAGCCCGTTCCTTCTTCCCTTGAGCTTTCCTACTGCCGCCTCCCTCTCTCACTAGCCCCCATTTCACTCTCCTGCTCAATGTGACATCCAGGCTGGAGGTTGACTTAATGATTCATGAGCTACCTTAGCCTTTTGAGCCTCTGCTCCCTCATCTAAATGAGGATTAGGATACCTACCTCAGGCTGTTGTGGGGATTTTGGTGTACAAATGCCATGTGGTATATCCTAAACGTAGTATAGATGTAATACCTGTTGGCTAATTCTTCAGAAAGTGGGAGGTTTTGAATGTTGACCTTACGAATCATGTTAATGAAAAATCCCAAAGGAACCTGAGAAATGTAAGTTATCCAGTATTGGGAGCGCTCAGATTTCTTGAGACTTTTAACAAGAATGTATACACAAAATTTACGTTTATGACAAATTTCAGTAACGTGGGAAAATGGTTATGTTGCGATGACCGAGAAGACTAGGATTTATATGTATAGACACGCAACACACACAGAAAGACAATTTGTCTCTAATTTGTGTGTGTTGTTTGATGAGATCATCCATTTATGTGGCTGTAAATTCCAAAGGTACAAAAGGTTCTAGAACAGTCTTCCACTTCTGCCCAAACACTCAGCTCCCTTCCTTGTGGGCAGTGATTACCATTAAAAAATCCTTCCAGAGAGATTTTATGTACAGCAATACTCTGTTTTATGAGTATATTCTGGTTCCCCCAATACACTGTAATTTAAAAGCAGATACTCTAGATCTGTATCTCTGAGCAACCCAACAAGAGGAGAACACTCAAAATAAAGGATGTTATTCAAATAATTTCCTCCCCTCCAGGGGGAGGTTTGTCATGGATATTTTCATGCAGTCAGTTCACTGGTGGATTCAGCTTTTCATTGTTTATTTCACCCTAGGGTTTTAAAACAGGGAAAAAACAAAGTGGAATTTAGTTGCTCCTGACATTGGAAGACAAACCTTACACTTGAGACCTCAACATATGTTTTTAAAATCTCAATCCTCACCAAGGTGTCTAGTGACCTACATAGCTAGTGGTTAAGAGGCTAGGCTATGGGATGGGCAACCTGGATTCAAACTCTGCCTCAGCCACTGTGTCACCTTGGGAGAGTTATTTAACTTCTCAGTGCCTTAGTTTCATCATGTGAAAGAATGGAGATAATATCTTGAGATTAATGGAGATAATAACCTACTTCATAAGGTGGTTATGAGATTAAGTGAGCAAATGTGTAAAGCACTTAGGATAGGGTCTGGCATATACTTTGCCATTGAGAGTTTACTATTGTTTCCCCTGGCTGTGCTACTCAATAGCTCTGTGACTTCAGATAAAGCCATTCGACTTCTCTTCTGTAAACGGGGAAACGAAGACGCGGGCATGACTTTTTCAAGGTCTTTTCCAGTTCTAATGTCCTGTGATTCATAATTTGTGTCCCTAGCGAAGGCTGGGATCCTGCACGCAGTAGGGGCTGCTGATTTAGGGTGCTGCTGTCGACCAGGATCCAAGACCCTGCAAGTGGTACCAGAAGGCTTGCCTCATGTTTGAGTCTGGAGAAAAAGAAAACGAATGAGTCGTAATTTGTGAAGGATAGAAAAGTTATTCCAGAGAGCAGCAGGTCTTGAAACTTTGTTCCTAAGATTAGTAATCAATCATGCACAATAAAATTGTACTGTCATGTTCCACAGATGGCTCATGTGCTTGTTTGTGGGAGGTTAAAGATGATGTCAGTGGACTTCCCTGGCAGTCCAGTGGTTAAGACGCCACGCTTCCAATGCAGGGGGCACAGGTTGGATCCCTGGTTGGGGAACTAAGATCCCACATGCTGTGCAGCCAAAAATAATAAAATAAGATGATATCAAATATTGACTCACATGCACTGTGAGTATGATCTCTGTGGTGGCAGAGCTGTTGGATTGGGCAGAAGATGACTGACTGTTGATTGTTCGTGGTGGGGACT